TATATATATATATATATATATATATATATATATATATATATATATATTAGAGAAGAAGAGAACAGAATTGAAGGAGTAGAAATAATGTATCATTCTTTGTTCTCCTCTCCAGATGTACGTCATCCCAACACCGTCACCTCAACCCATTGCCAATCCTGCGGAAAAGCATTACAAAACGTTACCAAATCTTTGGAAATCAGAATGGATCTATGATGTACCTGTGGCACCAGACAAAGCAAAATTAATACAAACTTCTCAGAATCATTTCCCTCAGCAGCATGCACTTTATGATATACCACCAAACAGGTTCAATCCTGCTACCCCAAAAATATCTCCAATAAAAGATAAAGGGAAATCAGTAGATCCAAAATTGTATAATATTCCACCTCTACATAGGAAATTAACTTGTCCAGAGCTTCCTCTTTATGATGTCCCCTCCACCCGCGATACATTTGTGCAACGTCCAGCCAGCAACTATGATGTTCCTTCCAATGTTCTGTCTACCAGGATTGAAAAGGAAAGCCAAAAATTGACTCATTATGATATTCCAAAAGGAACACCTGTTGCTTTGGCACAACGGAAAGAAAATAACCATAATTCGGGAGATAACCTATACATTATGCCTTTGCCATCATCCACAGAATGCAATGTGGACCAAGATAGATTGTCCATTTCAAGTGAGAATAGCAGGACCAGCACCATATCCACATTGTCAAGTTCTTCTACCGACTCCTTTTCGTCTTCAATTTTATCAACGTTTCCAGAAGACCTCAAAAAAGAGGCAACTATGGAGCTTGAGTTGGCTATAGACACCCTGACTAAACTACAGCATGGCGTATCCAGTTCCGTTGCAAGCCTAATGATTTTTGTGAGCAGTAAGTGGCGATACCCAGAATATTTAGAAGAAAACATTGAGGAAATCCACCGAGCAATCGATCACATAAAAGTGTCTTTGGGAGAGTTTTTGAAATTTGCTCAAACTATTGAAAGAAATGCAGTTTTGGGATCGGACAGTAAACTTCAGGCAAGAATTAAAAAACAACTGAATGTTCTCTCAGATTCCTTTCAGATTTTGGTACACACCAGAGAAGCCTTAAACAAATGCAAGTGGTCACTTGAGATTCTAGCTGTTAAGAAACCTCAGAGTAACCCAGATGATCTGGATCAGTTTGTTATGGTGGCCCGTACCCTTCCCGATGACATTAAGAGATTTTCATCTATTATCATAGCTAACGGGAAGCTACTTTTCAAAAAGAGCTGCAAAGATAAAAATAGCAAGGATTCTAAAGCGGGTGTAGAGCTTAAAATGAAGAAATTTGGCCAAGAAAAGCAAGGAGAAGATAATTCTGTTCTCATAAGTAGTTTGAGCAAAGCAAAAGAAAATGATCTCTATTCAACAGAGACAAGTCTTTCTGTCCCCGAAGACTCCTCTACTCATCTACAGGTTGGTGTGGTTGGAATCACTGTACAAATGACAACATTTAAACGTTATTGATATGTGGTCGAGACCCAGTTTGGTGTAGAGGTTAAGGCACTAGGCTAGAAACTGGGAGATCATAAGCTCTAGTCCTGCCTTTGGCACAAAGCCAGGTAGGTGACCTTAGGCCAGTCACTTTCTCTGAGCCACAGGAAGGAGTTACTAGTAAACCACGTCTGAAAATCTTGCCTAGAAAACTGCAAGGACTCGTCCAGACAATTGGCAGGAGTCAGTATTAACTTTAAAGTACAAAAACAATAACAACATACGAGTGAATCCACACACCTGCAATGGCTAGGGATAGAGTAATGTAATTGGATAGATAATGGGAACTGGTTGAGTGCCTGGGACTGTGATGGTGAACCTATGGCACATATACCCTAAGTGGCATGCAGAGCCATGTTACCTGGCACACTCGGTGTCACTGATTACTTTATATATTCAACCTGTAGTGCAGTTGCTATCTGAATTCAACCACGTGGAGGCTGCTTAATGTAGCAAGCATTTGTCATGTTTTTTCCAATAGTATAGAATGCAATATTGTACATCAATGTGTTCTGATAATATATTCAACGTCACACATGCTCAAACCAGCATTCTCACTGAATTAAGGCCAGGGGTGGGCACTACTGCCGGTTCGCTCGTGTGCGTGCTGTGCACACATGCACAGGGCAATTTAAAGTGTTCTGCACATGCGCAGAACTGAAAAACAAGAGAGAGAGAAAAACAAAGAGAGAGAAAAACACACCCCTGAACTGGAAACCAGTTCAAGGCAGTGACAGGGACTGGGTTGCTGCTGGTTCCAGCGGCCCAAGCCACCAAACTACTACCGGTCCGACTGAACTAGTTGGAACCTACCACTTGTTAAGGCCAGTAACAGCTGAGTTAAAGGGCAACAGAATTTTAGCCACTATACCGAAGTGTCATACTTAGGAGTGTAGTCAGTATCAGTCCCAAAGCAACACTGGATCTTTGATTCTACATTACTGGTTGAATTTAACAACTGAACCAGCTTGTTTTCACTCAGCTGTGGTGTAACCCTAACTGCAAAATACTGCTCACCTGCTCTACAAACCTTGTAAGTGATCCAAAGTGGGGGACATTTTCATCTCTATCCCTCTTTGGAATTCCTGTGTTCCAGTGGATTTTAATGGAAAAACTTGGAAGTATCCCAGCAAAATTTGCCAGAGTTTTGTCTGTTTCTCCCTTTCTGTTTGCAAGATCAGTCGGGTTTTCCAGTTCTTTCCTTTTCCTTTTAAGTGGCATGGGAGACAGAATAGGGGAGATTGCTTCAAAAGAGCTGAATTGGAGCCAGTGTAGAAATACCATTGCAAGGAATTCCAATTCAAAAGTCTACATGTTGTAGAGAACGTTAACACACACACACACAGACACACAGACACACACACACCTTCATCCAGGACTTCTGCTAGCTAAAAATAAGATTTCCACCAAATTATTATTTTTTAATTGAGGTTTATTGAGAAAGGGATACCATTATATAAATTCCAACAACTGGATTACTTTAATGTTATAACTTAAATTTCTCTTTCATCTTGCTGGTGCAGTCTTCTTCAGTTTCTTTCACTCATACCTTCCCTGTATCAGTGGGCTGCTGGCCCATTTCCCAGACAACTGAAGAATACGCAGAGATCTTTCCCAACCATCTCTGGAATCCTTATCAGGCTGGGAACAGATCATTACAAATATAATTAAAGATGGTGAGAAAAGTCCCTAGCTGAAAAAAAAAACTGATGTTATTAAGCTGTCCGTGGGATTCTGCAATTACAGGAAACAGAGCAGGGGAGCCAGACAGCCACATTCCTTTACAGATAGTGAGAGCTTTATTTTTACTTTTGCAAACATTAGATAAGCGTGCATTGCAAGTGAGAGAAATAGGCCAGTTGAAGGGTTCTATCAGATGGTATCATTTTCTTTTTGGGTGACAAGGAGATGAGGGAAGTTTGGGTGGCTGTGAGATCTGCAGTGCCTTGTGTTCTCATCTCAATCATCTCAGCATTCTGAGGTCCGCAGGAAATCAATCAGGTGTGCTTTAAATGGTTTAAGGAAAGACTGTGGAAATAATCTTAATGTTAAAAGACACATTATGCGTGCGGAAGCTTCTATGCTCTATCTACAGAGATTTAATAAAAACTTAAGATGTATGGGAAGCCACCCTCCCCCCGCGAGGAATGAAATATTTTGAGGAATACTAAAAAAAGGCAGATTATTATATTTCCAAAAGAGAGAAATGGAGAAAACATATTTTTAGAGGCAGAAAGCAATCCCCACTTTCCTTAATAGCCCACAGCAGATGCCAGCACTTAAGAGATAAAGAGCTTATTGAAAGAAGACAAGTATCTAGATAGCTCTATTAATAAGCAAATACCCTCAACCAAGAGCCAAAACAGGATGAAAGCCATTAAGCCACAATAGGAATTACCCAACATCCTTTGAGAACACAAGCCCCTTCATTGCATCACCTCAGAGCAGCCCAAACTTCAACCAAACTTAGCTCAGACAAACACCTAGGATTTGTACTTTGTCTATAGAGCAGGGGTGTCAAACTCGTATCGTCACGGCAGCGTCATGTGACATATCGGGACTTCCTCCCCTTTGCTAAACCAGGTGTGGGTGTGGCCAATGTGTGATGCATCTGGCTCATGGGCTGCGAGTTTGACAGCCCTGCTATAGAGCCTGCTATGACCCCTACCTAACTCATACATTGGAGTCTGACAACAGCCAATAGAATACATGTTCTTGCACAGGAACAGGAAGCTCGTGTGCAAAGCTCCCCAAAAGGTATAAAAGGCACCCATTCTGAACTCCATTTTGTTAGCTGCCCATCTGTTTCATCAATAAACAGACCCTCTTTCTAATCAGCCTTCAGCCTCCATTTTGTCTCTAGTGCCTTTCTCCTGGCTTGGAATGGGAACTGGATTTTTCTTCCCATGCAAGCAAGGGAGAGTTCCTTGACATTTGGAGACCTGCTGCCAACACATTGGGCTAGTTGGACAAATAGCTTTATCATTAAGGCATTTTTCTACCTTCTTAATTGCAGCATTTCCACATACTTTATATTTCTGATGAGAGGAAGCATTTTAAACAGCCTTTCTCATCTTGATACTAGAGCAAGGGTGTCAAATTCAAGGCCCAGGGGCCAGATCCAGCCTGCGGATCTGGCCTTTGGGGCTGCCCTGGAAACAGCGAAGGACCGGCCCGTGGTATCTCTTCCAGTGAAAATGGCGCTCACAAGGGCTGTGGGTGGCCCACCCAGATTGTTTTTGCTGGCAGAGAGTTGCAGGAAATTGTTGCAGGCGAAAAATAGAGCTCAGGAGCCTGTTTTTGCTGGCAGATCACTCGGGCCGCCAAAGACACCCCCAACATGACTGATGTCGAGCTGGCCATGCCAACCCAGCCCCCCAAAGTCATACACAACCCTGATGTGGCCCTCAATGATATCGAGTTTGACACCCCTGTACTAGTAAAAAGATCTTCCTACAGCCAGTACAACCACTGATAGGATATCCAGGACAAGCTACACAACATTTATAGTGGGAATTCTCAATGTTTTTCTTCTTTTCATTCTCTCTAGAGTTCTCCACCTACCATGAAAGAAAGGACTCTCAGCAAACAGGATCCAGATAACCGAATGATACTCTCCAGCCTCTCCAGACTGTATTTTGGAGCTGTCCAGAAAGCCATCGGTGTCTTCCACAAAACTCTTAGCGATAATCGGACTCCTGAAATCTTCGTCGCCAAGAGCAAGCTGATCATTATGATAGGCCAAAAGCTGGTGGACACCTTGTGTCAGGAAGCCCTTGAAAAGACCAACCGAAACGATGTCTTGCGTGGCAGCAGCACATTTTGTGGCTTGCTGAAAAGTCTGGCAATTGCCACCAAAAATGCCGCCATGAAATATCCAAGTTTTGAGGCGCTTAAAGAGCTTCAGAATCAAGCCGATGAATTATCTCAATTCACACAACAATTTCGAGATATGATGGAATGAAGGAGTACTGGAACAATTCAAAAGGCAAATTTGAACGTAACGCTTGGACGGGATAAAGTACATCCATGTGAACGGGGTGGGGATGTAAGTTGACTCCCCTCTCTGTGTCTCTTAATACAGCTCCAGCCAATACTGAGCGAGAGGCCTGCAAGAGTGTCTTCTCCCAATGTTTAAACAGGATTAAATTCTCCCCATTGTCAAGAATGTTGATATAAAGATTTCCTGAGAAGAAGCTTCTCTTTGTATCAACTTGACATTTATCCTCAACATCCATACAGACAGCAATCTTGAATAGGTAGCTTGGGATCAAGGTTCAGTTTATACAACTCCATTTAAATTTGTCTGTTCTGTTGAGGCTTAATGTGTCATTAAGACTCTAAGCGTGTTCACAAAAACTGTGTTGGATTTTTAGACATGTTAGGGTTTTTTATTATTACAAAGCATGTGCGTCTGTCTGCTTGAAGGTAACTGTACTGTAGCATTCTACCCCATAGAGATGTGGTGAGAATATATACATTTAATAAAAACCTGACAGTAAATTGATGACAAGATTAGGGCTATTTAGAAGGCTTTTATGAACTGTTGCAATAGTGCTCAGGTTATTAGCCATTCTTGCAACCATTCACTTGGTTGGATAAACTCTGGTGGACTCTTTAAGATGGTGCAAACGCTACTGTGACTAACCATGGTTTCAGGTGTAATGGTATATTATGAATTATTTATACAGCAAAAAGCATGGTAAAAAATAGAACTTATTCAACAGTCTGGTAATTACTAATTTGTCTCGGCTCTGTTATTTATCTAAATTTCTCTTCTTTCTTGTTTCCTCCTTGATACAATTGCTCCTTTTAAAGAATTACACTGTCTTCATATCAACAAACTTCCATTTTGCTTACAGTTCAAACAGGAGCAATATTCACAAATAGGGGAAAGGGCATCATTCTGTGTGATTGTACAATGAGAGATTTAAAAAAAAAAAGGAAAAGTAACATACAACAAATAAAAGGGAATCTTCCAAACCCTTACAACCTTCAAAGGAACTAACTAATGTCTCTGTGTAAGTGTGCGCATATATATGTATGTGTATGAATATATGTATGTATGTAAAAAGAAGGTACTAGGCACAGTTAATCCTTCCTTGTGCATGTAAGGTTGCTTAGACCAAGAAGGACTTGCTTGCTCTATAATAGGAAAAATCAATGTAAATGTTTGCAAAATAACTATTAGTCTCTTGCTTTTAAGATACTCAACATAAAAAAGATAAAAATAATTGAATTATGGATTTGAAGATCATTATTAAAAACCCAATGAACTGCAAGAGGAAGTCCTTGAGAAAAGCTGGGTTTGCTCTTATAGTGATGAGGAGTAAACAGAAATTCATAAAATGAGGTTCAGCCCTCCCCCAGCATGCATACACAGCAACAGTATTGTTCTCTTTAGGGCAAAAGACAGGATTTTGTCAAACATTTCAAAAGATTTTCTAAATGTTATTTTATCAAGTCACTTTCTGGCATTACAGAATACACTGAACCACAAACAAAATGACCTATGCTGAACACACTAACATACTAACTTATTATGTTATATGGCTGTGTCCATTAAGTCATTACCTGCCCTTATGCAAACACAATGCATAAATATAGACCCAGAGTATTGAAAATGGATCTTTTGTTGTGCAACAACACTCTTTTCTAATTCACTACATTTTACAAGGAAGAGGAAAAGCTATTATTCATTTGTAACCCATTTGCCACTGGTTTTTCCACCTTGAATAGAAAACTTATTGAATATTTTTAATTTATTCTGCTATTAATTAAAACAGTTCAATATTTTTAAAAGCTTTGTCATAAAATACCACATGCTGATGTTAAAGGAATCTGTTCATTACAATGAACATAAATCTTTTCAGGCTTATTAGACTAAGTGATGTTTAATATGTATCTGGGGGTTGAACTATGAAGTTGTTGGTGCTCTCTAAGTTTGGTTATTTACTTTCATAATGAAAACTCATCTCACAATAAATAGACAGAACAAATCAGAGTTTCAACTGGGCTATTATTAGCATCTTAGACCAAGCTCAATCCAAAAATGCCAGGGAATTCTAGGAAACTTGGCATGTAGACAAACTAGTCTCAATATAGGTAAGCTACATTTACACACTATTCAAGAGTAAATTAAAAAAAAAACATAGAATCAAAAAGACTAGACACATTCTCATATTCAGATAAGTAAGGATCAACACTACACAAGCAATGAATCATCTAATATCCTAATCAAGGAACTATCAAAAAGAAAACCAATAAAGGAGAATATTTGTAGCTCAGGGGTGAAATGAGGGGTCCATGGTCCTCTCTGAGCTTGCTTGTGTTCTTGCAGACATTTTATTAGCCTAACTAGGTAACATCATCAATACTAGTAAGGAGTGTTGTTTGCTGTCAGTATATATTCTAGTGTCTTGCCTGTCTATGGGGGTGGGGGCAGTCTTAGAGATTCTTTGGTTGGGCTGTTTACTGATGGCTTTTTGGCAGTTTCTTGATTTGGATATAAAGAAAACCATGTTCCCATCAAGATTGGCAGGGTAAACTAGGTATACATCTAAGTGCTATTGCTATATAAAGAGGGACAAACCCCCTCCTCACTGGCACTGATGATGTTACCTAGTTGGATAATAAAATAACTTCGAAGAAATAATCAAGCTCAGCACCAAGAACTCCAAACTCTGAGTTCCAGAAATCAAATATTTTGTTATTTGTGAAGTTTGACTTTACAGATCATAGAAATGTGTACAAAGTTTAAATGCACCAAGCAATTCCTTTCTTACCAGAAAATCCTCATTTTATCCCTCCACTGTGAGTCCCACAGGGCTCACCTGAGGGCAGAACAAGAAATAATGGATGGAAGCTAATCCAGGAGAGAACTAACCTAGAAATAAGGAGAAACTTCATGAGTTAGAAAAATTAATCAGTGGGACAGCTTGCCTTCAGAAGTTAGAGGTGCTCCAACACTGGAGATTTTAAACAAGAAATTGGAGAGCTATTTGTCAGAAATGCTGTAGGGTCCCCTGTTTGAGTGTGGTGATTGGTGGTGAGGTGGGGTTGGACCTACAAGGTCCTTTCCAACTCTGCTATTGGGTCAACTGTAACTGTAGTTGGGTTCAGAATCTTAGCTTCTGGGTATGGAACTGGGTTACTTAGGAACTGGGTATATCTAGTTTAATGAAAAGAAGGACTAGGGAGACATGATAGCAGAGTTCCAATATCTCAGGGGTTGCCACAAAGAAGAGGGAGTTAAGCTATTCTCCAAAGGGCAGAACAAGAAGCAATGGGTAGAAAATAATCAAGGAGAGAAGCAACCTAGAACTAAGGAGGAATTTCCTGACAGTTAGAACAATTAATCAATGGAACAACTTGCCTCCAGAAGTTGTGAATGCTCCAACACTGGAAGTTTTAAAGAAGATATTAGATAACGATTTGTCTGAAGAGGTGTAGGGTTTCCTGCCTAGGCAGAGGGTTGGACTAGAAGACCTCCAAGGTACCTTATAACTCTGTTATCCTTACGATTTATATTGATATTGTTTCCTGATTGCTTATTTGTGCCCTATGACTATCATTAAGTGCTGCACATTATGATTCTTGGGGAATGTATCTTGTCTTTTTATGTATGCTCACAAAATTTGCACCAAAGACAAATCGTTATCTGTCCAATCACACTTGGCCAATATTCTATTCTATTCTATTCTATTCTATTCTATTCTATTCTATTCTATTCTATTCTAT